TTGAAAACACTAGCCTAGTGATATGATAACGATGTTCTTGATAAAAACGATCGTTACCAATAACAATACTCTTATCGTATACACACCATTGTTTTGTACATTAAGTGACAATGTACAGCAGCACGTTCTCATTAAAAGTATTAATCCGGAAATTTGATTGATGAAGTGCTAACGGGTACCCTTAAGGAATGACATTGCTAGTTTGCATTCAAGATCTGCTCGAACGAGTGCTTTGAAGTTGTGAATGACGATTCTGTAATAATCCTTCAAAATAGCGATCTACCGTTGAGCACCGTCATTAGTAAACGAATGATGAGAATGAAATTTTCAGTGCAACATTCCGAAATTGCCGACATTCATCACCGGAGCCGTGTCTCCTCTCAACGCTCAACATTCGAATGTCCGATCTGCAACCTTTTGGTCATCTGAATGAACCACGCGATATCTTGGTTTGGCATACAAAAACACTGGTGGAGATCAATAAACCTAATGCTAAAACTTATGGTTATGTAGTGGAGAGTTGAATGTGGTATCGGTAAATTGCATTTTCTTGGTCAATTCCAAATGTGACTAGCTGAGTCGTTCTAATGTGATCGTAACTGTTGTTGATGTCTGTGTTGCGATGGTGATAATTAATGGTTCATTATCATTGTTATAATTACTGTTGTTCTCATTATCATTGTTCTTAATGGTAATACTGTTGTTATTTTTACCATTGCTACAGTTATTGACAGTGATATTGCTATTGTTATCATTATTATTTTCATTTTTATTATTATTATTACTGTTATAATTATCGCTAGTATCGCTATTATAGTTTCTTTTATTTGTTTCTATTGTGGACTACTTTTATTGTTTATTTCCGAATTTGTTGTTAATTAACAATTTTTATTGTTTATTCCCAAGGAACTGTTTTCTGAGTTAAGGACTACTTTTATTCCCAAGTTTCTTGTTACTGTTTTGTGAATGATTGTTGTTAATAAATTAAAGTGTGCCATTGGGTGATCAGTTGAACGATGAATAAGAATGAATGTTTTATTATGACTGCAAACATGGTGAGTATGGTAACTGAACTGTTTCGGATCAGAATGGGCGATGATATAATGGATGATAGCATTGTTTGACCGTGCAAATTTCATCTCAATAGAGGATGCGATATATTCCTGGCGATAATCACTGAGCGTTTTTTGCGTCCGAATCCACAACCCATCATGCCACCACCCATCATGCCGCCACCCATCATNAGAATCTGAAAAAAAAAGTTAGCAAACTGAGTCGATATTAACCCATTCAAACAGGTTTTAATGATGTGATTCAATCTTTTCGATCACATACGAATGTGTATGTTAGTGAAGGGAATTGTATTATAAGAAAGTTATGTCTTGTTCACTTGTACAAGAATACCTCTTGGACAATGCCTAAGATATTCGAAGGCAGTGTCAAGGTGGCAGCTGTCCTAGAACGAGGCATCTCAATCGATCATTAAAGGGACTTTCAACAATGACTAAAGATCGAAGCTTAGAGAGCGTTGTGGTAAATGTTCAACCGTGAGTGGGCGGAATGTTTTACTACTTAATGAAAGGGATGCGAAATGCGATTTCAAAGCTTCAACAAAATGCAATAGTCAGTCATGGTCACTTAGTTCTCATGAAACATTCAATCAGTTGATTCAGTTTGATAGTGAAACGAAATAGTGAAAAAAAAAAACAGGTCAAATCCAGGTTCGTCATGAACGGACACTGACGCGAACGTAGAGAACAGGATTGATTTTGAAATCAGCCACATTAACAACTAATGTTAATTGTCATGATAGGAATAGCAGAAAGCATCAATCATAAGCTAATCATCGAAAAATGACCAAGAATAGGGCATCAACTCACCGGTGGAGGCATTATTGGTGGCATTATCATAGGTGGTATCATAGGTGGCATCATAGGAGGCATCATCATTGGGCAGCAACCAATTTGCCGTTTTATCCGATCCCATAACCTAGACGTGGTTGAATTTTCGAATGTGGAATTGAGTGGTTGCTGAGTGAGATTATTGAATTCACTCGCATTGAACATCTGAAATTTGAGTGATAGCTTCTAAAAGAGCTGTAGAATACAGAATATTCTTTCATGAAATAGAGAATTTCTTTGCAAATTACTTGGAAATTTCTCAATACTGCAACTCAACGATGCGAATGGCCATATAAATAATGATGGGAATCCATAGAAAGATAATTCCTTACGGTTATTTGTAATCATATCGTTTTGCAGAATTTTAAGAATCATGCAAAACGAGAAATCTGTAGTAGAGCTCGAATTTTTTCCAGTATCATTGCTCTAGTTTTGAGCAGCAATGAAATTTTAACTTATATTAGGCGATTGAATTTTTGATAAGGAAAAAAAATAAGTCTTCCACTGATTCTAAACTGATTGAAAAACTAACTTGAGTGCTGTCATCAACTTTGTTCGAAGCATCGTTATGACCAGTAATGATACTACAGTGAGAGAATACTATCACTGAAATAATTTGAAGAAGTAAAATGCTTCGGCTGGTTGTAACTGCAGTTTTGGAAGTAATATGTAGCGCAGACACGTCATTCCGTGTCATTACTATTTCAGGAAAACAAACGGATTCAGACCGTCTTCTGACTTCAAATGGAACACCAACTTTGGGCGAGTTGAAAATAAACTAAGTGATGAGTTTGTTTTTTTTTCAATAGGCAATTACGAAAGCATGCCAAAAAAACAGGTCAAGTATAAACTGTTGTACGTGTATGGTATGCACAATAACTACTCGAAAAGTGATGCGTGTTCAAGTTGTGCCATAGATACCATACCATACCCATTCAATATATGTTAATATCATGAATATTCACTTGAATTCGACTTGACAGACCCTCATAACAATGGCTTGAAGAGTAACGATTACTTTTACTATTCATAAATGTTACTGATATTTCTAAAGTGTTCCAGTTAATATGCATGGCCACTTTTGTATTTCAAAATGAGGCATTTCGGTTCTACTTTCTTATTTTGCACTTACATTTTATTAGAGATGTAGATGAAGTTACATTGAAATGCAATGAGAAGAAATTTTCTGCTTAACGCAAATAAACAAAGTCCCATGTGAATACTTGCGAATAGAAGATATTTCTCAAGAAAAGTGCTTTATCTTAACATTATTTTGTTGCTCTGCAGTAGATCAGACGCTTTGATATGATAAAGTCCCACATTAATGCGATATTTTTGGTCCCATCAGTATGAAATAAACTTGTGGCATAACAAGGAATAGTCACCCGAAAAATCAGGAACAAATGGAAAACTGGTGCGGAAGTTTCTCAGCGCCGTGAAAGAAATTAGTGTCCTGGACAGTTGTATTGCTCATTACTGCAATTGATGATGAATGCATGAAAAGCTATTGTCTGTGACACGTTCACTTCGAACTGTTTTGCATGATTCTCATTCTTTTCAGACGTGTTGT